ACTAACATTCTTGAAGTTCACCATGAACTATATAGAAGCACGGTGCCAGGGGGCCCATTTTTGCAGCCCTATGGAGCGAAGGGCGAAACTCCACCCCTCATGCTCCAAATTGGTCCATTTCTTCCGTGTTGGCGGCGGTCTCCAACAAAGCGCCCTCCCGATTTCCGGAAACCATTTTCCTGGAGCCGGATGTGACGCTATTATTATTATTATACAGGATTTATATAGCTCCAACAGTTTGCTCAGCGCTTTACAATATAACGGGAGACAATACAGCAATAATACAGTTCAATACAAGAGGGAAAGGAGGGCCCTGCTCCTTGGAGCTTACAATCTAGGAGGGAGGGGCTAGTGGTACAAAAGGTAGTAACTGTGGGGGATGGACTGGTTGGAAGAGTAGAAGATTCCATTATTAGCTGAGGGCAGGATAGGTTTCCCTGAAGAGATAGGTTTTCAGAGATTGCCTAAAAGTGAGCAGAGTAGGTGATAGTCTGATAAATTGGGGTAGAGAGTTCCATAGGATGAGAGAAGCCCTGGAAAAGTCCTGGAGACAAGCATGGAAGGAGAAGACAAGGGAGCTAGAGAGCAGGAGTTCTTGCGAGGAGCGGAGAGTACGGTTTGGGTGATATTTAGAGACAAGATCTTTGATGTAATTTGGGGCAGAGTTATAAATGGCTTTATACATTATTGTTAATGTTTTGAATTTTATCCGTTGCGCAATGGGAAGCCAGTGGAGGGATTGGCAGAGAGGGGTGGCAGATACAGAACGGTTAGTAAGATGGATAAGTCTGGCAGCAGCATTCATGATAGACTGAAGAGGGGATAGCCTGCGATTCGGTAGGCCAATGAGGAGGGAGTTACAATAGTCAAGGTGAGATATAACAAGGGAGTGAATAAGTTCCTAAGTGGTTTCCGAGGTTAGGAACGGGTGTATCTTAGAGATGTTGTGGAGGTGAAGTCTACAAGATTTGGACAGTGATTGGATTTGGGGGTGAAAGGACAGATGGGAGTCTAGGATTACACCTAGTACCCTGGCATGAGGGGAGGGACTGATGATTGTGTTATTGATCTTGATGGAGAAGTCAGGGGAGGGGGCACGGGCCGGGGGGAATACTAAGAGCTCAGTTTTGGAAAGACTGAGTTTGAGGAAGTGGAGTGACATCCATGCCGATATGTCACTTAGTAGGTTAGTAATGCGAGAGGAGACTGAAGGTGTGAGGTGAGGGGTAGAAAGATAGATGTGTGCGTCATCAGCATATTGATGGTACTTAAAGCCATGGGAGTTTATCAAATGACCAAGGAAGGAGGTGTAGATGGAAAATAGAAGGGGTCCAAGGACAGAACCTTGAGGGACCCCTACAGAAAGAGGGAGTGAAGAGGAGGAGGCAGCGTTATAGGTAATGCTAAAGGAGAGCTGCGATAGGTAGGAGGAGAACCAGGAGAGAGCAAAGTCTCTGAGGGCAAGAGAGTGGAGTTTTTTGAGGAGGAGGGGATGGTCAACCGTATCAAAAGCTGCAGAGAGGTCAAGTAGTACAAAGTAGTGGCCATTGGTTTTAGCTGTTTGCAAATCATTAGTGAGTTTTAGTAGTGCAGTTTCAGTGGAGTGTAGTGAGCGAAAGCCAAACTGTAAAGGGTCAAGAAGGTTGTTGTCGGTGAGGTGGGAGCTCAGGCGATTGTAGACTAAGCCTTCTAGGAGTTTAGAGGTAAATGGCAGCAGGGAGATGGGTCTTAAGTTGTTCATGTTGGTGGGGTCCAGTGAGGGCTTTTTAAGTATGGGAGTGATGTGCGCATGCTTTAGAGGGGAGGGGAAGGCACCAGTAGAGAGGGAAAGATTGAAGATGTGAGTGAGGGAGCATAGGATGGAAGAAGAGGGTGACCGTAGTAGTTGGGAGGGGACAGGATCCCGGGGGCAGGTGTTGAGACAGACTTCTGAGAAAACCTTAGTGACCTCTTCAGTAGTAGCAAGGTCAAAAGAGGAAATTGTTGAGGGAGGTTTAGTATAAGGTATGCTAAGTGGGATGGATGTCTGTGCAGTGGCGATGCCCCTACTAATTGCGTCAATCTTGTTTTTGAAATGATTTGCAATCTTGTGAGCAGTGAGTGAGGTACTGGGTGGAGGTGGAGGTGCAGAAAGTAGAGAGTTCAAAGTAGAGAAGAGACGAAGAGGACTGGATGACAAGGTATTAATAAGAGTGACAAAGTAGGCTTGTTTGGCAGCATGAAGGGAGGAACTGTATGTTAAGAAAGCAGCTTTATATAGGGTGAATGCTTGCTGGGATTTGGCTTTATGCCACAATCGCTCCAGCGCACAACTATGTCATTTAAGATTTCTGGTGTCGTCAGTCTGCCAAGGTTGTAACGGTCGGGGCCTGATGCTTCGTGTTGTTAGAGGAGCAAGTGAGTCTAATGGGGATGAAAGCGAACTGTTGTAGACAGCAGTGGCCAGGTCAGGGCAGGACAGGGGAGAGATTCTGTCATAGAGTTGGTCAGTTGCAGAGTGGAAAGGAGCAGGGTTAAAGTTGTGAAGGTTTCTGCGGGTAATTGTTCGCTGCTTGGAGGGATAAGTGTTTGAAGATGAGGACACTGTGAAGGTAATGAGATTGTGATCAGAAAGAGGAAAGGGGGTGTTTGAGAGGTTGTAGGGAGTGCAAAGATGGGAGAAAACAAGGTCTAATGTATTCCCATCAGAGTGAGTGGAGGACAGTATACATTGTGCTAATGCAAAAGATGTGTTTAGGTTGAAGAGTTGGGATGTAGCCGGGTTGTTGACATTAATAGGGATGGTAAAATCTCAGAGAATGATAGTAGGTAGTTCAGAGGAGAGAAAGTAGGGTAGCCAGGTGGAGAAATCATCAAGAAAGCAGGACACCGGTCACTGCAATCTTCAGAGAAATAGGAGAAAACAGCCGGATGCAGTGAGTCTCGACAGAAGAGAAGGATAGAGAGGGAGGGTTATGGAGGAATTGAAAGGTGCTCAGTGGGGATAGAAGCAAACCAACTCCACCACCTATCCAACCACTGGGTCTGGGTGAGTGGGTCCAGATGAGGCCTCCATAGGAAAGTGCTGCAGGAGAAGCAGAATCTGCTGCTTGGAGCCAAGTTTCTGTAATTGCTAGTAGGTTAAGGGAGTGGGTGACAAAAAGGTCATGGACAGAGGTGAGCTTATTACAGACAGAGCGGGCATTCCAGAGCGCACATGAAAAAGGTAGGGTGGTTTTTGGGAGCACGGGGACTGATATTAAATTGAGGGGATTGTGGCTATTCCCAGAAGAAAGAGGGTGCCTTATGTGGGGGTGAAATACTGGAGGACCAGGGTTTGGGAAGATATCCTCAGAGGTTAGGAGAAGAAGAAGGGTGAGGAAAGTAACATGGGAGCGGGATGTACATAAGTTCTCATGCCTTCCAGTCCTGGTGTTTGGGTCAGTAGGAGAGTGAAGTACCAGCAGGAGGTGATGAGAGCAGTAGTGGGGAGATGGTAGCAGTGAGGGTGAAATGTACAAGTTTGGGGGTGGAGCATAGGGGTAAAGAAGTGAGATTTTGGAAACGCAGGAAAGTAATATGAAAAGAAAGAGTAGAGGGGACATATTAAAAGGTACACGGCGTGGGACTCAGACTTGTAAGAGATGTTTCAAAGGGTGTTTGTTTGCAGTCTGTCAGTTGTATCTTCCTACTGCTTGAGTTATCCTACTTTAGTTAAACTGCTGTTTTTAACTGCGTCTTAGCACTCCATCAACGCAGCACTCACGCAAAAGCAGCACCCCATCTGTGACTGTGCCCACGATCTGTGTTTCCCCCCATGAGCTGATGTAAATGTATAGGGAGATGGTCAAATGAGCACTCTTCTCTGCCCCAATCAGGAACTGTTAAGGATCACATGAATGGGGGGGATGTTTCTCAAACAGCTAGTGCATATAATGCGATTGCGCCTGCGCAGTTGTGTTGAATGCCGGGAATCACACCATGGGTGCCATCCTCCCCTCGGGCAGATGCACATCCGCATATGGGAGGACAAATACATGCATTACAATACAATATTGGAACTGTATAAGGCCCTAAGTATTGCAACTTGGAGGCAGCTTTCAAATTGTGTTCGGTCCCTGGGGGAACCACATGTACGACGCCTGTTCCCGAACCCTCGATGGGTTAAAGTCTGAACAGTAGATCTTTGATGATCAACTATTACAGCACTGTGCTTCTATATAGTTCATGGTGAACATCAAGAATGTAGAATACAAGAAACATTTATAGTTTAAAAACTTGATTGACTATTCTTTTTTTATTGATAGTGCATTCTTAAACTATGAAGGGACAATAAGACTGGTTCAAATATTAATTTACCATATATTTGTTTATGTGATGCACATTAATTTCTGGTCCGTACTATATAAAATAAAAGAAACAGCACTTCTTTAGATATGTTTTGATGTCTTGTGCTATACATTCTTGGGACATCAAAGTATAGTAAAGATCCACGGAAAGAGCCGAAGATGTCGGCTCGGTCATGTGATCAGTTGTGCCCAATCACAGCTGATCACATGTAAACAGGGAAATGCTGGTTATTGGCATTTCTCTGCCCACGAGCTGTCACACTGACAGCTCGAGAGGAGAGCCGATAATCGGCATTCCTCGGAGGGGACATGTACACAGATCATCAGAGCACTGATGATCAGTGTGCCCTGATGATCTGTGTAGCCCCAGCAGCGCCACCTGTCAGTGTCCATCAGTGCCAGCTCTCAGTGCTCATCCATGCCACCTGCCAGTGCCACAATAGTGCCACATTTTAGTGCTCATCAGTGCCACATCAATGTCACATATCAGTGCCCATCTGAGCTGCCTTTCAGTGTCACGCGTCAGTGCCAGTCAGTGCCACCTATCAATGCCAGTCAGTGCCACCTATAAGTGCTTCCAATCAGTGCCACCTATCAGTGCCAATCAGTGCTGCCTATCAGTGTGCATAAGTGCCGCCTATCAGTGCCCGTCAGTGCTGCCTATCATTGCCGCCTAACAGTGCCAGTCAGTGCCACCTAACAGTGCCGCCTATCAGTGCCATATATGAGTGCTGCCTTTCAGTGCCCATCAGTGATGCCTGTCAATGCCCATCAGTTCCACTTACTAGTGCCTCCTCATCAGTGCCCATCAGTGCCACCTATCAGTGCCCATCACTACAGACTCATTAGCGCACATCAGTGAAGGAGAAAAATCACTTTAACAAAAACTAAGAAAAAAAACTTTTTTTTTCAAAATTTTCAGTTTGTTTAAGAAAAAATAAAAAACCCAGAGCTGATTAAATACCACCAAAATAAAGCTCTATCTGTCACAAAAAGATGATAAAAATTTCATATGGGTACAATGTTGCATGACCGCGCAATTGTCATTCAAAGTGCAAGAGCGCTGAAAGCTGGAAATTGGCCTGGGCAGGAAGGGGCTATAAGTGCCCTGTAGGCTAGTGGTTAAACTAGGCAGGAAACAGCAGACTTGAGCAATGTCATTGGCAACTTGAATGGCTTGAGAATGGAACTCTCTCACCCGATCCGTAGCATCAGTCAGGTAGTTGAAGGTCTCTCTGCAGATGGGGGCCCCCAGTGTTCCTGCGGTTCTTCCTTCAGCGATCACTCCAGACAGCAGCACTCTTGAGCTCTGGCCCACAGGATAGCTCACCAGACTCATCAGCAGTGTCAGCAGTCAGCAACTCCTCCGTCTCCCTTCCTCTCTCTCTCTCTCTCTCTGCAGCCTATCCTGGCCCAGTCCTCTGGTGTCCCCCTTGGTGTTCTTCTCCACACCTGTTCTCCAGCTCTCACCCCTCACTTCCTGTCCCAGTTTCTCGGGCTTCTGCCTCCACCCATACGCCAGCTCCTCTGGGAAATGTAGTTTGTTAGCCAGATGTCAAACAGTAAAGTCTTGCAGTCAGCCTACGAATCCCACAAAGCTTTGTAACAGGGTATGTACAATTGGACTGCAGGTCACTGCCATCATGCGTCCATTTAATATCCTGCAAGCAGTATAACGGCAGGGTGTTACACGGCTATACAGCAGTCAAGCGCAGCGAGAGGCATTCCTAGAAGTTCAAATTAAAAAGAGAAAGCATAGTTAGAAGCTGAGAGGGTACAACATGAGTCTGAACAGGCAGCTCAAGAAGCATCAATGGAAAGGTAGAAATCACTATTACGCAGCAGGAGGATTAAATGGAAAAGCAGAAAGCCCTCCTAGAAAGCATCCTTAGAAAAACTTTCTTTGAAGCATAAAGCAGCAGCCACCATAGCTGAAGCAGAAGTCTTGTAATCAGCTGTATACCCTGGCAGTGAACCAGTGGACACAGCAATATACTTAGTCCAGAACCTGAACCCTAAGATTCTCCACAAAACATTTCAGATTGGCTTTTAATTTATAAAATGCTTTTGTGAACAATTTATTTTCATTTAGTATTTTATATATTAAATATGCCAACTCCCTGCCTCCCGCATTATCTGCTATGTAAAATGATAAAGTTCTCTAATTTCTCTTTCTCCCTCTTTCATTTTTTTTTATTTTTTTTAATATTATATAATTTATTTTTTTAATGAATACATTTCTTATTTATATTTGAGAATACATATATAACGTGTGCATTATTCATATTTTTTAAAACTGTACCACGACTATAATGAGGTGATTATTGTATTATTTGTATAATGTTATGTATATTTATTTCACATAAATGTTGAGGCCATTGAAAAACTATCTTGTGAAATCTGCTTTGCAACATTGTCCTGAAGAAGCAGAATTCAAAATGATTATTATTGTTATTATTATTATACAGTGTTTATATAGTGCCAACAGTTTGCGAAGCACTTTACAAATTGAAGGCAGATAGTACAGTTATAATTGAATTCAACAGAGGAAACAGAGGGCCCTGCTCATTAGAGATTACAATCTTAAAGGGAGGAAATGTATTGACATAAGTCTTTAGACACGAATTGTTGTCTGGTGCAGCTCTGCATAGAAACTGATCAGCTTCCAGTTGTTTTTCTTTTTTTTTTTTTTTAAAACTTAATTGAACAAGCTGGTTAGAACTTGATTGGATGCCATGCATAGCTGCACCAGATTGTGCATTGTCCAGTGTTAGTAAATTAACTCCAATGTCTCTTCCTTTTTTTATATATCTCCTAAATGTTGTTTAGAGGATAGTAGCATCAGAGGATATTTTAATTCAAAATCTTTTCACTCTTTGTAATCTAATTCTACTAAACTGTGACTCTACTTGTGTCATGCCCCTGGCAGTTCTTTAACCTCCCTGGCGGTATTCCTGAGTGTAGCTCGGAGTAAAGTTTCAGTACCAAAAGCGGTAACCCCGAGCTACACTCGGGCTTACCATGCGGCGTTGCACAGGGATTCCCTACAGCGCTTACCTTGTCCTTCGCTCTCGCGATGTGTCCCCTGCAGCGTCCCCGGCCATCTCCTCCGGCCGATGCCGGCATCTGGCTTCCGTGTTCCGGTCCCTGTGACGTCGGGACGTACGGGCGCCAGAACCGGCGGCAAATTTGAAAATTTAAAAAAAATGACATTTTTTTTAAAACGATTATTTCATAGCAAAACATTCCTGTATCAAAGCATTTCACATACATTTTGTCCCTACTGCTTTGTCCTGTGCCCTGCCTGCATTTTGACTGTTCTTTCTGCCTGGAAACTTAGAAAAGTCCACGACGTCCAAAAAGCGTCCCTTTAGGTCAAAATCGGTTTTAGACTGGCTAGAGAACAGCGATAGTAAATCAGAACTACTTGCAGAATTGAGTGATAATGATTCATGGGGGAAATTCGTCATCAGACACTGAAAACGATTTTGCGACTTTGCTCAGTGATGTGCGAACTTGGCGCTATATTTCAAATTTCAGTGTTTTTGGTTTGATTATATTATTGAACTAAATTTATTATTATTATATTATTATTTTTTATGAGTATTTATTAAGTAATTACTAAGAATTGCAGGCCTACAATACATATAACACCAAATTTCCATGCAAAAAAATGGTACCGTTTTTGGTACAAAATTCCTCACATAATCATACCGCCAGGGAGGTTAATGGAGAAATAGTGTATTATTTTGGCAGGTCAGAGCAGATAGTGAGGCAGAATAATGTAATAGAAGTGTGCCACTGCTGTTTGTGTACTACACGGGAGGGAAAGGCCAATAAAATATATAAAATCTCTGATTCTTAGTGAGTTGGTGACCTTGATATATTACAACTAATGTGTTAACCCCACCAGCCATTCAGTTGTCAGTTGGGGTTTGCCAGGAGTCATTCGTAGCAAGCAATAGCTGGTATAAGACATGAGGGTGGGTCATTGAATTAAATTCTTTATTACTGACATTGTTCTTCATAGATGGATAATGTGACTGACAATGGATGTACATTGTGGGACTTTTTTTAAATTAAAAACAAATAAAAAACCACGCATAGTAACCAATCCCATTTATATCTTGTAATCTAGGTTAAGTGTATGTGTGAGTAGACTCCAATCACTATATGAGTATTTTATATATACACAGTTAGATCTGAGAGTTCTTACACAAAAGAGGTAGTTCCATCGTCAGTATACATCTGAAAATAACCCAAAACAGTGTTTATTATTTGGTTAGTAGGAAAGTTATAGAGTCCACAAACTATGGTATATATCTAAAAATGGATAAATCCTGATGTACTGATGGCCGATCTCATTTCTTGAGAACCAAAAATGCCAGGAAAGTACAAATACCCCCCAAATGACCACATTTCGGAAAGTAGACAGTATGAGGTATTTAGTAAGAGGCATGGTGGGTTTTTTGAAGCTGTCATTTTTTTGTCATAATTTTGTGGAAAATGAAGAGATGAAAAAAATTTCACAATTTTTTTTCACATACTGTCACCAATGCAGTACAGCACATATAACTGGTGTGGCAGTGATCAAGGACACTGACTGGTGACAGTATGTAAAAAAATAAAATTAATAATTATCTCAAAATTTGTTTATTTTGTATTACTTTTTTTATGATGTTTCTTTCTACTCCTGTTACCAGAGCAATACAATGTTACCATTGTAACATTGTACTACTCTGGGCAAATGATCAGGATTTTTTTTTTTTTACACATTATGATTGCTTATACCAATGAATTTCATTGGTATAACCAAGCATTTTTACTGAATGAAACTGACTCATTCAGTAGTTTTTGTTGTGATCAGCTGTAATTGGCCACAGCTGATCACATGCTACAGATGGGCTGTGATTGGTCCAGTCAGTACATGTGATCACTGTGACCAATCACAGCTAGAAGCACAGTTGTAAGCAATGAATGGCATGAAAGAAAGCCATTCATTGTTTACAACTGTTATTGGATCACAGTGATCACATGACACTGGCAGCAGGCTGGTGTAGTGATCTGTCATTGTGTCCAGTAGACACAGCCGCTCGGCCGTCATTTTACAATAGGTCAGGCGGGAAGGAGTTAAAGTTGAAAAATGTTTACAATACCACTAACTGGGAAGCTAGGAGTGGTATAATGTTGAAATACACTCAATGATTGAAATATATTCCCATCTAACTACAATATATTTCTAATTATATTATTAATTATTCAATTAGTGGAGATTTTTGTATAAACTCATTATCTAACAATCTTTAGCTTGTTAAATTAAGCTTTGAAAATAAAAGCTAGGAGCTGATTGGTTGCTATGTATTGCTGCTTCAAGTTTATACTGTTCCAGTCTAAGTAAATTCCCTCCAAAGCGCATGATATTTTTCTTACCGTTTACTTATATTTATGACTAGATATGGGTACTATGTGGGAGGACAATAAATGAGGTATTCTGCTGGTAATAAACAATATATTATTCCTGTGTCTCAAAATGATAGTGTAATAAAGGAAATTAATTTATGTTTCCTCCTGTTAAGTTATACAAACATACAGTTTGAATTTTCAGTTTTGGTTGTTTTGCTGACTACATTGTTAGAGACCGTTGGATGGGCACATGAACAGCAATAATAGTCTGACTGACAAAAGTACACACCCTTCTCCACTCTGGTAACCACTTCAATACTGAACACTTTCAACCCCTTCCTGCCCAGGCCAATTTTCAATTTTCAGCGCTGTCGCGCTTTAAATGACAAATGAACGATCACAAAATTTTTAGAATTTATTTTTAGACAGATAGAGCTTTCTTTTGGTAGTATTTAACCACTTGTCCTCCAGAGGATCTACCCCCCTTCATGACCAGGCCATTTTTTGCTTTTCGGCACTGCACTTTTTCAACTGGTAATGCGCAGTCGTGAAGTGCT